AATGTTCTTTTAAAAAATAACCAATATGCCAAACAAACATTTAAAAAGAGAGAAAAGAAAAATTGAGAGTGACAGAATAAATTTAAACAAGTAAGTGCTGTTTATTAAAAGAACAGTGGTGGTTATTGCCACCACTTGTTGCTCTAGTTGATAAAATAAAGAATTACGCTTACATCTAGTTTATAAAAAGATTTATTACTTAATGTTGAATCTCTAATTTTCTTTTTTTTTTTTATGTAAATAACAGCAAGCCTACAATCTAAAAAATGAAAGGCTGTTGATGCAATACCTGTCACAACAAGTAAGAGTTAATAAAATTAATATCATAATAAATACAACTTAACTTAATTATAAAAATTTAAATAGAAGAAAACTTTGTCTCGCCAGTTGACATCTTGTCAACCAACAATGTTGTTTCCGAGTAAATACTAGTGCTGTAATCCAAAAAAGGAAAAAGTATGGTTGCAAAGGTAATTGTGGCCACTTTTTATATGCCATAAATACAATTACTACCATCATCATAATTTACAGCACTAGTCCTTATTTCCGAGCATAAAAGAATACTTCATGGTTAGTTAGATAAAATACTTGTTTTTTTTTTTTTTAATGAAAAATCTAATTATTATATATAATTTTTGTACATCACAGAACAAGACAGGAATATTGAGGAAATAAACAATATGCCATGTCCCTCAGCCACCTCAAATCCTAAAGCATGGAAGAAATGTAATGCAGACTATTGTAATGATGAATTACCTATACCAAAAAGTAGATATAAACAAATCTCAAAACTAGAAAAAATCGTTGGACAGATATATCAAGATGAAATTAATAGGGTTTGTATTCATGAATATCATAAGGGGATCACACTATTAAAATCAAGTGATCAACTCATGTTTTTAAGGGATTTTTTGCTGTTTTAATAGTGTGTAACCCCTTTAATGATATTCATGATATTCATGGATAAAAACCCTAGAAATTAAATGTCAAAAAGCTCCAACAATTCAAGGTGGTTGTGAATATGCAAAATATTGGGCTCAAACAGATGTGGGTTTTTTTTTAATTATAAATAAATTGGTAAAAGAAAGAAGTCATATACTTATTCATCTAATTTTTTGTGTACAGATTGTCAAGCACCACAAGTATTCTTGCTGTCCATCAATTGTCCTGGCCATTGCAAGACCTTGGATTTGTGTTCTCAGAGCCATATATCTTGAAAAACCTGTGATTGAGCTGCTAACTGATTTTATTCTTATGATGAATCAGCCTGAAGATGATGGTATAAAATTGAAACAACTCATTACACTTTTTGAAGCCTTATGTCTTGCATACCAAACATTAGGCGATTTCTACACAAACTTGGGAAAATTTAAAATCAAAAAAATACAAAAGTTTTTTCCTATTACAAAATAAATGGAAATAAAATCACTATACAAACTTACCAAGGATCTGAAAGATTTTGTCTGGAAGGCAAAAACTGAGGGTGATGAAATTATTTTTGTTAAGTTCACAAAAAAATCCAACAATCTCCTAGATGAAAAATGGTTTGCTTGATGGTGGCTCTATGCTGATGATTATTTATTGGACATCAGATGTAGTATAGATTCTTTAATTAATATCAGTGTTTGTGTGATTATAATGATAAATTAATCTGTTTATTCCTAAACATGAAAATATATTAATATATATATATATATATATATATGCACATAATTATTGTAATTAAAAATAATTTTTTAGAAAACAGAATGTCTTTCATTATTAAAAATATAAGAAAATTTTTCTGCTAATTAATTTAATAAAATTCAATTTTGAATTCTTAATAACTTGACTTTCTTCAAAATTCAAATATAACAAATCTTGCAAACTGCCTAGTTAGCTAATAATAATTTGAGGAGAATTCTTACAGAAACTCACTTGAATAACATCTTTAT